CTCCTTTACTGTCAACATTATCAGCTCTACGCAACCATTGGGAAAGACATTCCATCAAGCACCGGGATAAATCACCACGAAAAATCATTTCCAAAGCGTCCAGTGTGTTTTTGTGTAGTCCTAGTGTCAGTCCAAACTCATGCCATCTTGTCTCAGGGAAACCATATCTCTTCAACAGATTAAGTACATCAATAAGTTGATCTAAAATCTTGTTCAATGATACATAAATAGTTAATGAACATTACCAATGGTCAAAGGAGAAGAGAAAAGACTCAGAGAAGAGGAACAAGAACTGGTTTTAGCTGCCATTGATTACTAGAACGAGACACCTACGGTGCATGGCCTCACCCCTATAGCTGCTATGGTGCATGCCTGCACTGCAATAGCTGTTTGATTATCAGCATGAAGAGAGTCTGCTCAACACTAGCTTCCTGCAGTTGCACTTGCTCTTGAATACCTGCAGAAGTAGCAGCACTGCAGCACATACATGCAAGCAGCTCCAGCCCCTCCCATGCATGTAGATTGAAAGGTGTGGCATTCCATCATAACTGGAATGATTGGCAGCAAGAAGACCATGTGAGAAAGAAGCTTCACTTTTTCTTTACTAATCAGCAATATATGATAAACTTGCTGACAAAAAAAGTTGCTGCCTTTGTATATTTGAGATAGTATAGGTACTTTACCTATAACCCAGCAAGTTGTTGCTCTAGCGCTGCACAAACGAGTGACCGCAACAATTTCAAGTAAGTATAACTCTTCATCAAGTAAGATTTAGAGAAATCTGTTCATTTTATTTGAAGGCCATGTTCTAATCTACTGAAAAATGGTACCATCTATCTCTAAAGTGCCAACACAACGGAACTTGGCCCATTTGCTCGATTTTCTTACTTTGAAGCTTCTGTACCTAGCACTTGTATTTGAGCAACACAAAACAGTTAAGAAAGACTTTTCCACGCCAAAAAGAAAGATCTAGGAGCTTGAAACATGCTGTGCTAAAGTTATTGTTTATTAAAAACAAATTTCAGTTGTACAGAATGAATGACAGACAGACAGACACAACAACTACCTATACCTCGCGTAGGCGAGGCCAACAAGCTAACCGGATGCAAACTTTGCAAAGGAATGACAAGCGAGGGGCTCGTTTTGGGCGGGGCAATTAATTAATTATTGTAACCATAGATATTAGAGTAAATGAAAGCATAGATATTAGAGTATAAATTATATACTCTAATAATAAAGATACTCTATTATCTATGATGAAAGGGATAGGAAACTCCCGTTCCCGGGAAATCAAGCTATTTACCCTAGAAAGCGGAGGAATCCGGATACTAGTATACTCTAGCTGTTATTTTCCTTCGCGGCATCGCCACAATGGGTGACTAGCCTGACAAGGCCTTAATCCGTCCCTTGTAATAGCAAAAGTATGCTTCGCAAAGACAAGAATGATAATAGGCGGAAGACCCAGAATAACTCATCTAGATTCTGTATTTGAAGTCTCTTTAGTCATTACTCGTTCAAGCAGTGAGATAATTGTACCCAACTAAACGCGGAAAGTTTACTTGTTTTTGAGCATAAAATGTCGAGAAAACAAGCTTTTGGAATTATTAAAGTTGGAAGACCTAAAGAAAAGAATTCTTTAATAGGGGCTTGCTTGAAATCTTTCATTTATAATATTGCTTTTGAGATAATGGGGACCAAATAACAAACTAGTACTTTTTAACTTTTAATCGCTAATAAATGCAATAGAAGAGCATAAATCTTGCTATTTTGGCTACAGCATGATAGTGGTATAACAGCTGACTTCATTGAAGTATCATATGGCACTGCAATCACTACTATGCAAGCGCTATAGGTGAGAATCAGTGCTGCAGAGATGGAGAGAGCAAGTCTGGTCAGGGGTAACTAGCTTAAGTTGCTAGGCAACCTAATAATCTCAATAGAATAATCCACCCACGCAAAGGAAGTTTCCTATCCCTTTCATTTACTCTAATATCTATGTTGTAACCCTCAATTTGACTGAGACATGGTGGACTTTTCTCATATACATGTATCTGTATTTGCCCATACGTACAGGCATTCAATACACAAAAATATACATTCCCTGCTGCATGTTATAATATGTCACAAGGTATAACTCCTCTTGACTATAAAAGTGGTGTACTGACTGTGAGCTGGACATTATTATTTTGAAAATACATGTAATATAAGAATGGCCTTTTATACACATTATTATTAATATTTTATTATTATTATTATTTCTGTTATTGTTGTTGTTGTTTTTATTTTTTCTTTGACTTTCCTTTCTTGCCTCCTTTCTTAAATGGACCCAGTCTTTTCCTAACCATCATACCTCTCCACCAGGCCTGTATCTGTAAGGGAGAGGGAGAGAGGGAGGGAGGGAGGGAGCGGAGAGGGAGGGAGGGGAAGAGGGAGAGAGGGGGAGGGGGAGGGAAAGAGAGAGGGGGAAGGAGAGAGAGAGGGGGAGGGAGGAGAGAGAGGGAGAGGGAGAGAGGTAAGAAAAAATTATGTAAAAGAGAAACATGATAGTATTGATAGAGTGTCAAAATGACAGAAATTGAGAAAGGAGAGAGAATAAAATACATGTACATGTATTTTTTAAATCTATTTACATTTAATCTATTGTTTTACTTTGGTTGCTGTCGTATTTTCTTTCTTCTCTTGTTCTTCTTTGATTCTTTGTCTCTCCTTCATTGCTCTGTGCTCAATCACAACCTCCTCCCTCTCCTTATACTGTACACACACACAATTAATGGAAAAATAATATTAATCAATTACTGCTGTATACATTATGCATGTTCATAGGCGGCTATAGGCCCGGGCAAGCCAGGGCTTTGAGCTGGTAGTTTTCAACCAAAACCACACCCAAAAGGTGTGTTTTGTTATTATAGGAGTGATATCATCACTAAAATTTATTTTTAATAGCCACAACTGTTTATACTTGCTATCAGCTCCACTTTACAGTTATTTTAGTGTGGTAACTGGCTTTTGTGAGCTATCATAATGACTTTAAGTCATTTTATTAATTGACCACACCCCTAATTCTTATGAATAATTAATGAGTCCTGGTTAATTCAAGATTCTGTAGCCGCCTATGTAGTCTCGTGCCCCGCTACCGCCTATGGTTATCTTATCCCGTTATATTCTTGTATGGACCACTACCTTCGAGCTCTTTGATGCTTGTCTGTCGGTCATAATTATAAACCACACCCAAACCAATAAACATTATGTTTATTGACTTAGATGTGGTTTATAATCATGATCGACGGACAAGCACTGATTTTGCAGCAAAGAGCTCGAAGGTAGTGGTTCATACAAGAATATAACGAGATAAGAGAGCTGGATGGCTCCACTAAAGCTGCTAAAGATAGTTGATTAGCTGCTGGACACTGTAATTGTATAAACACGTGGTCAATCGCCATAGCAACTATCTAAATCGTTTCTATGGAAATTCTTATTAGCATTCGCGAAAATTAGTCGTCCTACGGTAGTATCGCCCACCACTAACACACAGTGAGGCTGACATTTTTCTTGGAAATACTGTCACAACAATGGCCTCCGACGAACTTCTCGGGTCGTCTTTAATTACATCCTCTCTGAAAGGGATGCTAGAATGCTCCGTCTGCTTGAACAAATATAAAGACCCCAGAATTCTACCTTGCCATCATGTCTTCTGTAAGACATGTATCGATGGCCTTAAAGTGCAGGAAAATGGCTTAAAGTGTCCTACTTGTAGCTCGACTTGTAGAGAGATGGCTTCTTTAGATGGAATAATGAATAGGAGTTTCCCGCCAGCTTTTCACATCAACAATCTCCTGGACTTGCGATTGGATGAACAAGAACAAGAAGTCTTGGATCTTTCTTGTCCCGTGGACAAAAAGCCTCTGGATTTTTTCTGTGAGAAATGCCTTGACTTGATCTGCAAAGACTGCGTACCTAGATCACATCAGGGCCATGTTTGCAAATCTGTAACTGAAGCCATTCCCAAACAAAAATCTGTTTTGCAAAGTCATTCTGAACAAGTGAAGGAGGAGGAGGTATTCATTCAAAGTAAAGTAGAAGCCTTAAAAGAGAGGGAAAGGATTGTGTTCGAGCAAAAGGCCACAGTCAAAGCTGAAATCCGCACAAAAGCTAGGGAGCTGATCAGAATGATAAAGTCGTCAGAGGAAGATTTGATTGCAAAAGTAGATGAAATTGTCCAAAGTAAACTTGATCCTCTTAAAGAGAAGCGACAGTTTCTTGAGGGCATGCAGTCCAAAATGAGAAACTTACAAGAACAGGTCAGCAAGTGTCTCAATTCAGGTGGCAAGCAAGGAGTACTCAACATGGCAAAGGAGCTGATACCCAAAATGGAGGAGGTCAAAAGCAGCGTGGATAAAACCAAAATGAATCCCACTGAAGTTGCCGATTTGACTTTCATCCAGGATCCTAAGTGCATGGAAGCTGCAAGACACCTTGGGGATTTATCAGCAACCTTTAATGATCAATGCAACGTTGAAGTGATCAGTGTTTCGTGCTTTGACAATAAGAGACCTCAAGTATTTGTCACCGTCTCAATCAAGTATGCTACCAGACCTGCCTATGCTATTGCTCCTTGCTTATCAATCATATGCCTCATTCAACCTCCCCAAGTGGCTGAGAGTATTAAAGGTGAGATTTCATTAGGTGACGTCCCAAATCAATATGTCATAAGATTCCGTCCCAACAGAAATGGGGTGCATAAGTTGTGCCTAAAAATCAATGAGATCTTAGCTGAGAAAAAACCCATTGTTGTTCCTTTCAATCCTGTTTTTATCAAAAGGATTGCTCCAACTGCATGCATTAAGAGTGATCTCATGTCTAAGCCAATAGGTCTCACTATGTCAAAAGATAAGATCATTGTATTGACTGATTACAATAAATTAATAATCCTGGATAAGAATGGCAATAATCCCAAGGTGTACAAGCAAACAACCAATGGCCATCGTTTCTCATTCACAAGAGATGCAGCTGTCACTCCTGATGGTTGCCTACTGATGACAGATGAATACAGCATACTAAAGGTATCAATGGATGGGAAGCTATTGAAAGATATTGGCTGCAAAGGTAGTGGTAAAGAACAGTTTAATAATCCGTTTGGCATTACCATTGATGAAAATACCGGTAAAGTCTATGTTGCTGATCTTGAAAATCATCGCATTCAAGTCCTCAATCGGGACTACTCGTTTTCTCATTTCTTAGGCTTAAAAGGAAAGGCACTGGGTTATTTTGAGCAGCCTAATGGCACTGCTCTTGATTCTCAAGGTAACGTATTTGTGACTGATACGTTCAATCACAGAATACAAAAGTTCTCACAATCCGGAGAATACATATCCTATTTTGGCTCAAAGGGGCCTAATCCAGGCCAATTGAAGCTCCCAGAGAAGATAGTCATCAACAATGATTACATTTATGTCACTGAGCATCTTAATGCCCGCATCTCTGTCTTCACGACTGAAGGTATCTTTGTTCAATGTTTTGGGAATCAAAGCAGTGAGGGAGGACTGGTTTGGCCACGTGGACTCACTTTTGACGAAGATGGCAGTCTCTATGTGTGTGATTTTAAATCACACTGCATCTTCAAGTACTAAAAATACACTTGCAACTGTGCATTATTTTAGCCATTTACCTTTTTGTTTGTTTAAACTTTTGATTAGCCTATTAATGAGACTTTCATGATTAATTATAGTCTTGTGTAATTTAATTTGCTGTTATTTTTGATACAAACTTTAATAGTTAATTCATTGCCCAGCCTTTTCGGGAAGCACAATAGCACATGCGATTACACACCTCTGATCACACACAGTCAAGGGGTCCGCAACGGCCTCCAAAAGTGTACAGGATTAAAAATCCACTCAGATTTTGGCTGGATTATTGGATTTTTTTTGGTGGATTATTGGATTTTTCTGTGGATTATATTAATAGTTATTGCACTTAATAACCAGCAGCCACCATGTTATTAAATTTAAGTAACCGTTATTAATTTTAATTAACTATTAACAATAGTTAACAAACCATTATTAATAAACTGTTTATGTTAATTAACCATTAATTGGTTTATCTAACTATTAATAATAGTTAATAAACCATATTCAGTATATTTCCGGATATTGTAACTGGATATTTTTGATTATTGCTTGGATTTGTAGATTATCTGTGGATTATCACTTGGATTTTCTTGATTATTGGTGGATTA